CAATGCATTAGGCCTAATTTTGAATCCGTAGGCAGAGATGCCAGGCTCATTTTGAAAAAAATCTGGCAAAACCCGAAAAAAAAGTCTGGCAAAAATCTGGCACAGCAAATTAACATAGGAAGCTGCCAGATTTCTCAAAAATTTGTCTGGCAGAGCTTAAATTTCTCTGGCTGTGCCAGATAAATCTGGCAACCTGGCAACGCTGTCCTTAGGCCGAGTTTGGGGCCAAGATGCAGCGTTAGATTTTTAAAAATATCTCAAAAATTTGTTCCTCTTTGGCAAATTTTACGGTACGTACGGAAAGGTAAATAATTTAGAAGTCATCCGCAGTGAAAACATTCCATTTTGTGGAAACAAAAATCCACTCGAAAAATAGAGGCAAAGGGCGGGTAATGCTTAGTTGGCCAAAATTAGATCTAAGCCCTATTCGAGGGGGGTGACTCTATCTACGATGCAGGAAAAATTGTGTTTTGCTATGGTTAGCTGCGCACACGCTTAGTAGATAGAAAGAAGATTGATGACGATTTTGAAGATTTCTTGTAAAAAGATGATGCACGATGCAAATAGATGGGAGAAATGAAAGAAGATTGTTCGAAGAGTGATTCGCTAGTGTGAGATTTGTTGAGCATCTAGAATTGAGATTTAGATGTGTCGCCTCCCTCGGCCCTATTGCATTTTTTCCGGACTTGTAATTCGGGAAAAAAATAGAAAATCATCATTTACATTTTTAAGGACTGTTGTTGCCATCGGTAAAAACGAGCGCCCAGCAGGGAGAGGGTTTTTTGTCGGCGAAAGTAGCATCCAGCTGCACGGCGAATGAGAACGACTCAAATTTGAGTTTAGTTCACTCATAATCGCCAAAAGTGCAGGAACTCAGCGATGAGTTAATTTGCCTCATGTTTTCCCAGGTTTTTCCAGGATTTTCCAGGGAAAAATTCCTGAATTTGAGAAAAGTAAAGATTGGATTCACTCAGTCAATTGGTACTGCTCCGAGACTGAACAAAATTTTTGTCAATTTCCTCATTTTCCCGAAGATTTTTTAGGTTTTCCACAGGAAACCATGAGACAAATTTTACTCATCGCTGAGTTCCTGCACTTTTGGCGATTATGAGTGAACTAAACTCAAATTTGAGTAGTTCTCATTCGCCGTGTGCTAATGGGTGAAGACTGTGAACGCGCCCGTTAACTGACAGTTTTCGACGGCGGAAGATGATACAAATAAAAACACGCATACATGCGCATGCAGCTGTTCGCGCAGTGGGATCAGCTAAAGAGACTAAATTGGGTAAAGAGGCGACATCTTATCCATTTGACAGGTCTTCTGCTCGATTGGAATAAATTTTCCCATGATTTTGACAGGTAATCGATTGTTCCAATTATGACATGTCGTCTCTTTATAAATTCAGCCTCTTTAGGATCAGCCATCGCAATTTGTTGGAGAAAAGAAGATCGATAGAGATGGTGAAAGTTTTCATTTTGGAAGTTAGATTAGTAATTTCACTAGTGATTGTATAGTAGAATAAGTGTGAAGTCGATTTTGTATGTGTAATAGTTTATTTAAATATTGTGAAAATAATATTTGGTGTTTTGTAGATTTCGTCAGCTGATTGTTGGTCGACGTTAGATTTGTTTATTGTTCTGCGCTCACGATTGTTCGAGCTGCTTACTGTGTCAAGAAATTATTTAAACAGAACATTAATAGCAATTACACCAACATAGGGCCTAGATCCGAGTGTACCAGTGTTGCCGAGAAATGTAGATTGCATTTAGGAGGAAACTGAATGTAAGTTGTTTTTTGTACGAATCCATTATTTGTTATTAATTTATGTAATTAAATTTTAGTTTGAGTACCGGTGAAACCGTAGTTTGTAAAATCATTTTCATTGCTCGATCCGAACGGACTGCGAACAACAACTGTTGATATATCTGAAAAGGGCCAACATTTTTAAACAAATGGTTTGTAAGTTCTTTCCTCGCAACGCGTAGGTCGCCCAAGCAAGCCAACAGCATCAGTAGGTAGGGAAAAGTTTAGTACATGCAATCTTAATCTTGATAAAAAAAATATGCAATGTTCAGAGATAAATTTTAAACATTTTGGGCCATTTTTTTAAATGCTGGGACTAAAAACCTTGTGGTTTAGAGATCTCGAATTGTTGTCCCTGAGTACTAGAATATTTTTTTTCCAAGATCGAGATTCTATATCCTAGACGCATGCAATTTTTTCTACCGTAGAACCCCGGTGGTGTGAATTGCTAAAATTGAATTCGTTAACTGGTACCTCTATACAGGTGCCCAATGGTGATAGGCACCTGTTTTGGGGCACCAGTTAAACTAATTCTAAACCAGTGCCGTTTAATTGCAATTTTAGTAATTCAAACTAACGGGGTTCTACGGTATGTATATGGTATTTCCATCTTGGAAAAAACGTTCCAGAACAATGCATTTTTTTCTTAGATTGCTAGAAACGTAGATCTTCAAAGATGACTGTCTTATAATTGTCTTTTAAATTTGTCCAAGTCCGAGGATCGAGACTTTAATCAATTTTCTCTATGCCACAATTTTTCATTCAACTTAGTAAATTGTTTGCGTTCAAAAAAAAAATCGAGATAGGGTAAGTGTGCCAGTTATGGCACTAGTGCTCCAGTTATTAGCCTACATCAAATTTGAAATATATGCTCATGGTTTTATTTCTGTAGATATATTATTTTGCCATATATGTCCTAACTTTGTATCTAAATACATTTAGTAAAGAATGAAAAATATGTGAAATATAATATAGAGATCATCATTAGAGGATCACTTGGGCCAAAGACTGGCACACATACCCTAGACAAAGGAGTGCAGTGAGGAAATATAGGTTATAATTGAACGGTGCTCTTGCTTAACACATATGTATTTTTGGAGAACAAATTTATGAGGATTAGCATTTGTTTCATTCAGAAGTATGAAAAATGTTCATGAAGAGTTTGTGATTATATAAGATTTATCGAAGTGGCAATCGTAATCCATGAAAGATTGGAACTGTATCTAACCGACCAATAAATTTCACTGTTGAACACTATTTTCGTCATTTTAGTCGCTAAAGTCACTAGTAAACCCTCTGTAAAACTCCTCCTTCGCTTCGCCAGTGAGGCTACGACCCACATTTCACCAATATGACACTTACACACACTATTTTTCTTCAATGTAACATTTTATTCAAATCGGGAACACTTGAGCCTGGCCCTTTTTTATGTGTGGATCTACTTTTGGCGTAGGATTACGTCTATCGGCAACATATTGGGGATGCAATTTAAAAAAAAACCAAAATCGACCGCGTTAGGAAAACTTGACCACTTATAACTCTTTCAATAGCGAATGGTTTTTAATTCTAAATCGATTGAAAATTTCTCTACAAATCTGCTACAAGGAAAACTTTATCAATTTCCAATAGATTACTTTTGAAAATTTCGCATTATTTCCAACTGTTGCAATGGTGATCAAAATTATTAGCAATGGCCTGCAAAAAGCGCTTTCCCTAACACAGCTTTCAAAATCGAATTCCCTCCGGTCTTGTCGAACGGTGCTTATTTAATCACCGTGTGTGGTTTTGTCCGATCCATCGTCATCATCAGCAGCAGCAGCAGTGCTTTCGGTGCGTGACGTTGAACATTGTTCCATAACAAAAGGCTGCCAGAAAAGCAGCGAGCTGCAGCCCACATGAGCAGTACCCTGATAGCTCAGCATTACTCAACCATCACAACAAAACGCTGCACGACCACCATTAATTTGTTAAAGAGTATTTTATGGAAATTTGTCAAGGTCATCAAGCGGATGTCAGTTCCCATAAGTTTAAATCTAACATACCATGTATTTTTATGGCAACATTGGGGGTGCAATTTCAAAAACCAAAGCCGGTCGCGACATGAAAGTGGTCTGATTTTGATACAGAGATGATGAGTTTTAATTCTTACAAATGCCAATCGATAGGAAATTTGTCTACGAATTTGTTAAAATGAAGACTTTATCAATTTTGCACGAAAATCCGAAAAAGTGGTTTCCCTAACACTGTTGCCGAATATTGATGCCTAGCACGTAATCCTGCGTCAAATATACGGTCGTGTCTTGGATACAACCTGAATAAGAAAAAGTCGTACAATCATTAAACAAATATTTAAATGTTTATGTGAAGTAACCAACGAGTCTAACGACCGACGAAACCAATCAACAGCAGTGAGTACCAAAGAATACAACTGAAAGAGCAAACAGTGTCTGAGAATTGCCAGACACACGAAATCACTCCAAACCCATCATCACACTCAATCATTGACTGTAATAACACGCTTCGTTCCAAGAACAATAGATCTCTCCGACATCAAATGACATAATAACCAACATGTCGATCATTGCATAGCACCTATGTTCTACCACCCACCGTGTGGGTACCATTCGGGGTCTACTCAGAGCTCACGACTCAAGATTGAGTTGAGTTGAAAGATCAAACACACACTCAATTTGAAACGCTCGTGGCAAAAAGATAATGACCAAAATGAAAGATCACGTTCGCACGTTCCTCCAACTGTTTGATACGAAGCATGCTTTTCACATCCATTATGCTTTCATCGAGCTAAGTGCAGCAAGCATAATTGATATGTTATGGCTTCGGTCGAACCCAAATCACACAGAAGTAGAAAACCTATACCGATTGATGAATGAACCGACGACCGTAACAGACTCCCATCGCACCGCAACTGAGCGGGGTCGCGTGACGATACTTATGAACTGGTGGACAGGATTCACGTGAAGAGGATTATAATCGCCAATAATAACAGCGGCCACTGTGTATTATTTATCATGGGTAGTGGGAGGCAATTGGAAGTGATTTTCGGAATTGTTGTTTGCGCTCGAGCTCCTGGTTCGGTGTTAGTTCAAATATTTATTCGGTAATTTAGGGCGGATTGCTAGATAGGGTAGTTTTGGAATCTATAAAAACGACACGGCTAGGCAACTTGTTCGCAAACATGTGGAGTGTGGTGAGCTGGATTCCGTTGGTGGCCGTACTGTGGTCGGTTCAAGGGAAGATTTCCCATGAGGAAGATGCCAATGAGAATCTTCTGCCGGTGGTTCCTTGCGTGAAGCGACTGTGTGAAAAATACTTCAAATCGGAACGGGCCATGAAGGGTTCCCTGGCGATAATCAACATCAAACCGGACACTTCAATATTTCAGTTGAACATTCTGAAATCGTTCAACGAAGATCCACGCCACGAAATGGGCGTCATGGTTAAGGACGGACGTAAGAAGCACTGGAATGCCTCGCATGTGACTGAGAAAGCCAAGAACTACTTACTGATGGTGAGCGATTCTTCGGAACTGGACCCTCCCATCAATCAACTAAGAAGACTGCCCACGTGGAATCCGTTAGCTCAGGTGGTCGTTTTGTTCACGTCAGAGATGACTCCGTTGCTTTCCGAAGTCGAAGTGCGAAATGCTCTGCAGAAGATGTTCGAAAACTCGGTTCTCAATGTGAACGTAATGGTTCAGAGGTACTATACTAGCATTTTGGAAGTGTGGACTTGGTTTCCGTACGAGAACGGGGGTTGTGCTGATAACATTGCCAACATTCGGCTGATCGACCAGTGTGAGTACGCAGAAATTCCTGTGGAAAAACTCGAACAAGCGGAGGATTCTGGGTTCATAGATTCAGACGTTGACTTCCTCAATGAAACATTTGTAAACGACACAGCGGTTGAGGTACCACTAATTCCACAGGAAACGGTTTGGATTTTTCGTGAGAAGCATTTCTTCTCGGATTACGGCCCGAAAATACCAAAGGACTACAACTACTGCCCGCTGAAGATCTCAACTCCCATATGGGAACCGTTCGTCGTTGGCAATGAGACGTTTGTTGAGAAGGGCTTGGAAGTGCTCATGATCGAAGCGATCACAGCTCGTATGAAGCTAACGCCGGTATACACGATCATCGAGCCGGAGAGAACCACGGCACGGATCACGGCGGATAACATTACCGGATTCTACGCAGATTTGATCAAGAGGTGAGTTGACGTAGATTACACTCTCAGTCGCACATAACCACTTTTTTTTATTCAATGTACACACAAACAGACGAACAGACGTTATGGTCGGTGGGCTCTACGAGAATCCCATAAGCAGGAAGCTCCTGTCATCAACCATCCCGTACCATCAGGACGATTTGACGTGGTGCGTTCCAACCGCTCGGCACGCTCCGAAGTGGCTCAACGTGTTCATCATTTTCAACCTTTGGACGTGGCTCATAGCTATCGTAATCATTTTCTTCGCCGCGACAATCATCTACTGCTTCAACCACGTGGAGCATGGCTACCCGGAAAACTACTCCTGGATGGCACTGCAATCGCTTGCCTTCTCCCTCAGTGTCTACGCTCACTACTGGCCAAAAAGGTTCTCCGTCCGGCTGTTCCTAGCTGGATACATGTTCTACGGTATCCACTGGAGTGCCGCATATCACAGTTTCCTAATATCAGTGCTTACACAACCGCGCTTCGAGACGCAGATCAGTACCGTGGAAGCAGCAATTGAGAATGACTTCCGCTTCGCCGGAGCCGAAAACACTTTGGTTTTCTTCGACAAACCAGATACCATTTCCAGGCACATCACGTCGGTCTATCAAACGTGTCCCAACATGGACGACTGCCTGGCTCGGTTGCATTCGGAGCGGACAGTTGCGGTGGCTGTTTCCAGAGCTCATTCACACAACAGCAAAAGCATCGGCGAGGCGGAGATTTTCTGCTTTCCTAGAACCGACAACGTTCAAACGTATTCGGTTGGAATGATGGTGAAAAAGGATTTCCATCTGCTACCAAAGATCAACGACCTGATTAGACAAATAAGCGAGTCCGGACTGCTGGGAAAGTGGCAAGTCGAAAGCGATAAGATTAGGATTGACGAAGATTTGGACGAAGGCGGCGGCGGCGGCGATGATGGTGGTCATGGTGATGGGCAAATTGTCCTGAAGATAGAACACATCGAAGGAGCCTTTATTCTGGGAACCTTCGGGCTAGGGCTGGCCACGGTTGCATTCATCGGAGAGGTGATCTACTTCCGGTTGAAGCGGAAATATAAATGGAAGGATTCGGTTTTCAGTAGATTAATCTGCTAGACTGGATGTTTCACCATATTTTGAAAACCTAAATCATTATGCATGCTAGAGGATTGCATTGACCTTGATGTAAAGAACGTGCACGTTAAAACTTGTATTCAACAGGCACCCGTCAAATTTTGCTTCTCACAGTAATGGCACAGGTAATACGAGACCTTCACACTTTATAAACCAATATGCAGCAGCGGATATTCACACCGGCAGCGGTAGTACTTTTAGCATTAGTGGTTGTAGTTGGCAGCAGCGCAAGCAAATGGTATAAAATTGTCTGCTTTGATTGAGGATAATGAAAGGTAATTTCTTGCAAATTTGATCCATTTAAGTGAAGACGAAGCGCACCCCATCAAATTCGACGTCGTCGCCATCGTCGTCGTTGGTCGCGCACCAATGGCAATTATTCTCACGTAGTTTAAAGAGAACGGGCTGTTCGTGGTCGGAGCAAGGTGATGGGAACGAAGACAGAAGCACGGGGCGGTAGGAACACTCCCTTTCCAAATTTCCAAGCCGGTTACATTATTTGTATTAGCGAACGGTTTTCGGAAAAGGTGCCGTACTTGAAGTTATATTTATAACTTGCCTGCTTTAGTGCTGTCAACTTGTGTGGAATTTACTAGTAGTTGACTTTTTTCGGTACTTAATTTAGTTCATTTTTCAAAAAGTAACTCAAACAAGTTAAACAAGGTCAACTTGCAATAACTTTTTAGCCCTGTATCTTAAAGTCAAATCTGAAAATTGAATCACTAGGAGAGGTTTAAACGTGAGGCATGCTGAAAATTTATTGCATTTACTTTTTCGACTAAACTTCACAATCTTAAATGTTGGCAATTAATTTTAATGTCGAGAAACTTTGCAAGAACAACTTTTACAGCTCTTCAACTCTTCGAGCACCAAAGCAAAATCACATTTTTCGCTATTTTTGTAATATCATCGGTAATCTAGCCGGCGCCGGTGGTGTAGTGGTAAGCGTGACTGCTTTCTAACACCCCAATGGGTCTGGGTTCAATCCCAGCCGCGGTCGGTGGGATTTTTCTGAGGCATAAAAATCTCTGGTCACGTCTTCCTTCGGAAGGGAAGTAAAGCCGTTGGTCCCGGCCCATGTGTGTTGTTGTGAATGGGTGCGATATCCTACGCAGGTGTGGATGGCAATCGATGTCCGTCGGTGATTGGCACTAGATTGCGGAACAGAGACCGACGTTAAATAAAGGAAAAAAAGATAGGTTTTTATCTCGTTGGAAAGGGTATTAGTTTCAATTGGTCATGTCACATATACGATTGTTAGTTCAGTTTTTGAATTTTAAATTTTGTCGGATCGGTAAAGAAGCCGGTTTAGCAAATTAGAACTGATTGATTTTTCTCTGGAGCGTCCCTTAGCTCCCCTAGCAGTACACTTGTCACTGAACAATTGTGGTTACTTGTATGTAACTTATTTCAGTAACAATCAAATTGCAGCAACTTATTTTGATGGATGTGTGCTGCCTGGGTCAGTCAGTAAAGGCGCAGCTATTAAACAAGGCCATGCTGGAGGTCGCTGAGTTCGATTCCTGGTCCGGTCTATGAATTTTTCGGGTTGAAAAATTTCTCGGCTTCCCTGGGTATGATTGCACTTGCCACACAATAATACTAATGCAAAAATGGTACAGGCATCGAAAGCTCTCAATTAACAACTGTGGAAGTGCATCTAGAACACTAAGTTGATTGAGGGCTGGCGTAAAAAGTTCCAGTAGGGATGTAATCAAGTCAAAGAAGAAGATTTCTCCTTACATATTTATTTTTCAAAATCTTTCGGGGGCATACTTTCCCATGTGGGAAACAATTAGTCGGACTAACATTTTTTTTAAATTTTGGAATTTTGAATTTATTGTTAAGATTTCAGTCATGAAATATTTTTGAAATCCTGGAAAAGGAAATCCAGTCTTAATTCCAATAAAGATCTGATTAGAATTATATGGTAATTCTGAAAAGGATTCCTAGCAAATTGTGAGGAGAGCTCCTTGTATATTCTAAGGAGAATCCCAAGTTAATTTTGTGTAGAATTGCAACATAGCTCTGAGGGATTATGCAGAGAATTCAAGTAGAGTTTTGAAGATAAATTGATGGGAATTCTGAGTATAATTATAAAGAAACGCTCATAACAAATACATGGAAATTTGAGAAACAGAAAAATCTGTGAAGAACTCAATTAGAATTCTGGTGAATGTTTCATAGGAATTCTGAAAAGCATTACAAAGATATGTTGAGGATTATTTGAAACGAATTATCAGAGGAAAACTTCAAAGGAATTTCTGAGAGAATTCCAAAACCTACCAAGAGTATTCAGGGTATGCTGAAGAGAACTTTTTAATATAATAGATAATTGCGGCTTAAATTGCAAAACAGTTTTAGATGATTTGTAAGACGTCTCTGAGCTGAATGCTAAGCAGATTCTGTAGGGTGAACCATGGAAATTCTGTAAAGTATATCAAAGGAATTATAAAGATAAAATAATGTAATTTTTTGGGAACAGCTTTAGGAAATGATAATATTTTAGAGTAATACACATAAGATAGCATTTTTCAAAAGATATTCAATTGAAAATTTTGTTCTACTACTTTGTCTCAGACGTGATTTAGATAAGGAGTAACGATTTTGTGCTTTGATTTATTAAAAAAAATATATCGAAAACGTAAATTTGATTGTTTTTGTAAAATTATTAATGGCAGAATCTTAGCACAAATGTGAGAGATTATCGGAAACGAAAAATGAAACTTCATATTAACCGTCTGATCGCGTGAAACTTTTCGATAGTCAAAATTTAAAGTGTTATTTAGGTAGTGATCCCGAGTAGATTCCGTAAATCTTTTGAACGGTAAGATTTTGATATAACTATTTTTTTTTTGTTTAAAAAAATCAAGGCAGTACAACTTTGTTTTTCAAATATAAATGACAGTTTGTTTTACAATGATATCTACAGTTGACTTCTGCAACTGAATTTGAAAACAATAAAGAAACGATAACATTACTACTCAACGGTTTGTGTAAATTATGTTGATAAGGTGGGGCATTCAAAAATAATAATAAATTAATAGAAATCTTCGAAACACTTCAGCACTGCTGAACATATACACTTTGGGAAAAATCGGAAGCGATGTTTGCTCGAACCGGATCACAATTTGACCGGATTTCGGACCTTACACTGTCACCGTATATAATTGTAATTGAGGTTATTTGCAACTGGAATGGAATTTATTCTTCTTCAAAAATGGTCACAGGAATAATGATAAACTCTAATTTATTGCCCCTATCAGCTGTTCACTCGTACCTACAATCTACACTTGCAAAGGAGATTAGCTAAGAGAGGATCGTGAGAGGGACCTGATCGCTTTGTGTGAGAGTAGGTGAAATACAATTTCGTGTGGAACATGTTTGGTGATAGGGTGCTTCTATTTATGTTCAAACAATTGAACAATTGATTGAAACACAAAATTTGTCGTAGGACTACGTCTTTGTGGACTATACTGGGGTGCAAATTAAAGAAAAATGTGTGACGAAATAGTGTCAGGTTTTGAACGCTTATAACGTGGTCATTCATGAATTGAATTCAATCTTAATTTCACTACTTTATTCATATTGAATGTAAGATTTGTTTGGTTTAAAGATGATAATTGTTTATCAATGGTTAGCTATTGACAATTGATCAAAGTTTTTAGCAGCAACCAATCACGAGAGACAAGCCGGTACCACGCAATACTCAAAGTTATTTTTTTCTTTGCTTTTTTTTTATTTATTGACCTACATCAGTAAAATACAGAAAAAAGGTGAGGCTTAGATTGCTAATCTAAATGCTTGTAAGGGAAACGTAAATTTGTTTACTGCAGTCATCGTTTGACAGCCAAGTGCTGTAAAAAGGGTGTTCGTTGCGTTGTACACAGAAAACGAAACTAGCTCAGAGAGTGAGCAACATTTACTCAGTTGTGAGTCACTTTTACTCATTCGTATGGAGAAATTTCTAAAAGCGTAGGTCATTCTCAGTGCATGGATAACCTACACTTATAGAAATTTATTCATGCGAATGAGTAAAAGTGAATCACTCTCTGAGTAAGATTCGTTTTCAGTGCACAGTGGGCTAAGAATTGAATCTAGTAGGAACAAAAGGAAGTTTTTGTTTATTAATTAGTACTTCGATTTGGTGGATAAAACTAGTTCAAGTTTTGGATGGCAATCGATGTCCGTCGGTGATTGGCAGTTGATTGCGGAATAGAGACCGACGTTAAATAAAGAAATGAAGAAGACGAGATAGAGGTTTGTTGTGTTCAGCGAAGTTGTAGAACGTAAAATTTTATGAAAAATTCCTCAATACATAAAAGCTATACATCTTCAAACAACTTATATACATGAAGTTTTATAATATTTGGCTGAAATTCACATTTGACAAAAAGTACATGAAATTCTGAATGAATTAAGGTGGGCCAAGTTTGAATAGTTCTATCGATCTGTATTGAGCTCATCAACAACTGTGTCAAATTTGAATGGATTTGGTTATGGCATATGTCAGATATCTTTAAAATTTGTATAGAAAAACATATGGAAAACGAATCTAAACTATTCATATGCTTGCCACAAATAAAAAAAAAATTGTTACAAATTGGATGAAACCTAAGCTCAAGATTGGAAAAATTTGTCGTCAAATAGATTAGACATTTGCGCTAAATGTTATTAACTTTTAACTCCAGGCCAAGTGAGGTACACGATGTTAGGCATACGGTCGTTACACTGAAACAAATCGACATATACCGTTCATTGGATCTATCTTTTAATATAGCAATGTCAGCAGATTTATTCATTCTATGTGATGATTGATAGATTCCATCGGATTATCACTTAAAAACTATAAATGCGATATGGAATGATTTCTATCGTAATTTCATATACTTAGTACTTGATAAAACTTTGCTTCGAACGTGGTTAGCGATAGGTAAGATATATATGAATATTGTCTGATATATTTCATGGTGAAAAACTGG